ATATTATTACACAGTTTCATTTATTATTATACACAGTGTCATGTAGTCTTACAATGAATGACGTGTATTATTACACAGTGTTGTATATTATTACACACAGTGTCATTTATTATTAGACACCTTGTCAGGACACAGTGTATTGTATTATTAGATACACTGTCTTGTATTATTACACACAATATCATGTATTCTTCCACTGAATGTCATCTATCGTTAGACAAATTACACGCAGTTTCGTGTATTACGAAACAGTCTTGTGTATTATTACACACAATTACACAGAATTTGGTGTATTAGGCACAGTTTTGTGTGTTAGAGACAATTTTGCATGCACAATTCTTTCTATTATATGCTATTCTGTATATTGGACACAATTCTGCATATTATACACAATTTTGTGTATTAGACACAATTTTGTGTATTATGCACAGTTCTTTCTATTATGTGCTATTCCGGGTATTGGACACAATTCTGTGTGTTATACACAATTCCACAATTCTGCACACATCACCTTCATTAGAGGTTTGTTTCATTTTCTCTCTTCAGGTTGAATGTGGTGTATTAGGAGAGCTTTTGCATGTCACAAGAGTTCACCCTGCAATGCTCCTCACATTTACCTGCTGGAAGTAAATATTAGTTGTGTGGAAATAATTGTATATATGTTTTCCTCTCTTCCTTTTGAATGTACATAATGTAACAAGAGTGACAGACCTGAAATTTACAATCACCAAACTAACCCAAGATGGCTGTTGTCCACTCTCATTGGCACTTACTGCACAGAGGACGTGTCTGTGATTGAGAGGTCATCAAAGAGCAGGCGGTGGACACTCATTTCCTTTCTTACTCTCTTCTAAATTTAGGTCTCCTAAAGCAATATCTAAAAGTATCCGATCTACACAGCCCACAGCACCAAAATCTGCCATCTTCCCCGCTTTCGTCCTCAACTGAGAATGAGCTCTCTTCGCGCTCTTAAGTTTGACACAAGCAGCTCTTGCACAAACAGGCTGCAGTCTGCTCGCTTGCTCTCCGTGCATAGCCCTTTGTCTTGGACATCTTCTGATCACTCAGTTTCGTTAGAAGGAACTGGGTATTCTGCGTGGTCTGCTGACTGTTCTCTGTGCCGGCCGTGCTGGCTGTGGTGACGGACTCGGAGACCGTAGTGGTGACACTGTTCACATTAGGGCACCTGGTTGCATTGTGCACTGTCTCCCATTCCTGGCGAGCTGACAGCACATGCTGCCATTCCATCTGCATTTGCAGTTATTGTAACTGAAAAGTGGAAGGGCCAGAAGACCTAGGCTGTCCTCCTGCAGAGTGTCTCACTCCTGGTAACTGAGGTGAAAGCTCACTCTAGGATCCATGGCTTCTCTATCGCTTGGAGAAGATGAACTCTGAGGAGAAGAGTCCACCAGTGGACCTGCTGGTAAAGTGCATGTTTGATCTACGCACACGAGGGCCTCCTAATCCCAGGCCAGGGTGAAACATTCTACGTACATGTCAAATGGCACTCGATTCATCTAAATCTCCAGGGGCTCTGGGTTCAAGTGTAAGATGAACTGAGAAGTCATCCATGACATGATTAGGAACACCTTCAGGTAATGCTGCACAAATTGGGCAAATCACTTCTGTTGATGTTTCTGTGTCTTCGGAAGTCACATGTTCTTGAAGTCATGTCTCCTTATAGCCCATTTTCCCACAATAGGGACAATTTTGTGTATTATACACAACATTGTGTATGATACACAATTTTTTATTATACACAATCTGCACTCTAGGCATTGGCAAATAATGAGGCCCCAGGATTCGATGATAGACCAAGTAAGGTTTTGTTAACTGACGCAGTCTTGGGTGGGCTTACTAGCTTATGTCAAGAAATGTGGGGGTAAGACTGATAAAAACTGGATGAAATATGTTTATGGCATTGAAGTCTATGGGGGAGAGAATAGTTTATAAGTATTATAGGGCATTATGTTTATCGTAAGAGTATGGAATGAGGGTTGCAGAGTGGATTATATTTGGGGGTGGGGGTGGGGGAAGTGTGGGGGGGATTGTGTACCAATGAGGGAGTTTTTCTTTTGCTTTTCAAGGAGAGGAGCTAACGGGGGGGAGGGAGGGGGAAAGGGGGAGAAGGGTGCAACAATGAATGAATGAATGAATGGAATTCCAAAATCTCTGTAGATGTCCATTGAAATGAAAAAGAAATAAATTAATTTATTTTTTAAAAAAAAGAAATGTGAGGACGTTACTGGGCCAGCTGACTGGAAGAGATGTCTGTTTGTTCCCATTCTCCAAAAAGATGATCCAACCAAAAGTGAAAATTATCAACGAACATCATTAACATCACATGCATGTAAAATCTTGTTTAAGATTTTTATAAAACTATTATGGTACATCAACAGGTCAGAGATTCCAGCTGCATTCACAGAGGCTGTGGTACAGGGAATGTCATTGCTGATGTCAAATTGTGGCTGAAAGCAGACAGTGCCAGTAAGGGGCTTTTTGTGTTTCATGGACTATGCAAAGGCATTTGACTGTCTGGATCACAGCAAATGATGGCTAACATTGAGCACAGGAATCCCAGAACACTTAATTTGCGCATGCGAAGTGTATACACACACCAACAAGCAGTGGTCTGAACAGAACAAGAAGACACTACATGTTTTAATCAGGAAAAGTGTGTGTCACGGGAGTTGTTTCCACTCTCCACACCAATGTGTGAAGAAGCACGAGGCTTCCGAATCAGAGGGAGAGACTGCACTTTATGAACAAGCATGTGGTCTCAGGATCGGAGGAAGACTCATCCACAACCTGTACTATGCAGATAACACAATCTTGTTTGCAGAAAGTGAAGAAGTCTTGAAGCACTTACTGCAGAAGATCAAAGATGACAGCCTTCAATACGGATTATATCTCAACACCAAGAAAACAAAATTCTTCACCACTGGACCAGTAGGCAACATCATGATAGATGGAGAGAAGACTGAATTTGTGAAGGAATTAATTTTACTCGGATCAATACCCACAGAGATAGTAGTCAAGAAATGAAAAGACACATTGCATTGGAAAAATACTCTGTCAAGAACCATGTTAGAGTGCTAAAAAGCATGGCTGTCAGCTTAAAGACTGAGGTGTGCCTGATCAAAGCATGCTATTTTCAGTTGTATTCTATGCATCTTTAACTTGGACAGTGAATAGGGATGACAGAAGAATTGACGCCTCTATACTGTGGTATTTAGAAGTTGTCAGTTGCCATTGAATCAAGTATGATCAAGTGACTCTCTGAACAATAGATCTGAACCCCGTCCTGTCCTGCCCCATCCTCACACTTCCTGACACATTAGCGCCCATTGCAGCAGTCACCGTGTCAATCCACCTCGTCAAGGGTCTTCCTTTCCTCCACTAAGCCTCTGCTTTTCCAACCATCATTTCCCTTTCCAAGGAACAACTCTCCTAGCAGCACGCCCGAAGTACGTGAGGCAAAGTCTCATCATCTTTTCCTCCGGAGAGCACTTTGGCTGCCCCTCCTCCAAGACACATTTGTTGTTTTGGTTGTCCAACACTCTTCAACACCACAGCTCAAAGACATCAGTTCTTCTTCTGTCATCCTTATTCACCGTCCAGCTCTCAGATGCATAGCAAGTAATAGGAAAGACCGTGGCCTGAGTCAGGCAGACTTCAGTCCTCAAACTGACATCATCAGTCCTAAGTAATTTGGAGAAGTCCCTAACTGCAGACTTTCCCAGTGCAATATGTCTCCTGATCTCCTGACTGCTGGTACCCATGGTATTGACTGTGGATCCAACCAAGTAAGATGAAGTTATTGAGAAGTTTCAATCTTTTCTCCATCCATGTTGAGAAGAACACCGGGTACCCCAAAAGAACCAACTCTACCTTGGAAGAAGTTCAGGCGGGGTGCTCCTTGGAGGCAAGCACGGAGCTGCTCTGGGCATGCTGCCAGGAGGACCAGTCCTTGGAAGGAGACAGCATGCTGGGACCTGAAAGCATCTTGATGAACATAACACCAGGGATGTGAACTCTTAAAAATGATTAAAACAGCATTTTTTGTTGTTATAATATTTTATTGTGATTCTAGTGAACGTTCGCCGAGTAAATAAATGTTTTAATCAGCCTTTCGTACACATTGTGCTTAGTGGCATTACCCGCAACACACACTTGTGACCCCGCATTCCCCCGCCCATCCTGTGGTTCTCTGTATCAGCCCCGTGCTGGCCTGTCCTCCTCGCCTGACACCGTGCCGGTCACCCCTTCATCGGAAAGTGCCTGCCTCTTCAGCCATCTTAACACGTGTGTGTCCTCCGGATACGGCAATTGTGAGTCCCTTCTCCCTCCCTCCAAGAGGGATTCTGTGTGCAAATCTTCCCTTTCTGTAACAGTATCATTGTGTGCAGTCGAGTCGGAACCGACCCACAGCTGGCCCGCCAGGTAGGTTTCCAGAGGCTGGAAATCGCACTGCCTGTCCTTTTCCTGCAGAGCAACTTGTGGATTCAAAGTGCGTGTGTGTTTTGGGGGATGACAGCGCTGCTTCCTACCACCGAACCCACAGGGTTCCCTACACCCTGCTCTACGGCTGTTCTTACGCAGTTCTTGTCCTTTTCTAACTAAAAGGACGTGTTTTGTCATCATCATTATCATCTGGAAATGGAGCTTGAAATCTCACACATTTGTGTTCAAAACCCTGACTACCAGTGTGGGCTCTGGGAGGTGGCAGCCGACCAGGCCTGGGGGGCCTCTGACTGTGGGGCCCTGTGTCAGGTACAAGCCTTGGATTTGAGGTGTGTGGGCGGATGACCAGTGCCTGTAGGCCACCTCTCACTGCTGACCCAGAGATGAGATGCAGGCCACCAAAGCACTTCTTTATTAGGGCTCTGTGGGCGTGTCCAGGCCCAGGGCGAGGCCCAGGGTGGGCCCAGGGGCAATCAGGGGACACAGGAAGGTTCACAGAGGACCAGCGACCCAGAGGGCAGGGCTGGGACGTGGTGTCACAGGCTCCCCATGGGTGCATCTGAAGGGGCGTTTAGGACTGAATCAATCCAGTCTCGGAATAGTGCTACACGGGCAAAGAAGTCGGGGCCCCTGCCACAGTGCCCCAGGGAGAAGGACGCCACACCCTGTGCCAGGCCATTGCAGATGAGGGGGGTGCCCCTATCTCCCTAGGAAACAAGCTTGTCAGGACATCCCCAGGCTGAGCTCCACACTTGCCCTCCCCATCAGCTCACCGCTTTCCCCCTTCACCCCGATCTCCACTCCCCCACAGGCTCAGCTCTCCATTCTCCTAAGACCTAGCTCCTTATTCCCCCAGGCCCAGCTCCCTACCTGCCCCCGAAAGTCCCACTCCCCATTCCTACCCCTCAGAATCACTGGGCAAGTGCTTCTGACAACCTGAGCCTACCTCAGCTCTTGGAATCACAAGCCTCGTTCCAACCCCAGGCCTTTGCATGAACCTTTCCCTCCTCTGCAGGCATCTCCTCTGCCTGGTAGCACCTGTTAGGATTCGGGATCTGGGATGCCTCCAGGCTACTCCCTGATGTCCCGATCTGGGCCTGGGCCCCCTGTGTGTCCCACACTATGGTTTCAGTTAAACTGGCCCCTGTCTGAGTCCTCCACCCATGGGGCTGCCAAAAATGGACATGTGTCTTGGTTCCCAAGGCTGTAAATATTTACGGGAAGAGGCTTCTAAGGAGCAGTGGTGGATTTAAACTGCCAACCTTTCAGTCAGCAGCCTGATACATTACCCACTATGCTACCCGATGACCCAGGCCCTGTTAAAGCTGTAATACCCGAGCGTCAGAAAGCTGGCATCTGGGATCTGGAGCCCTCAGCACAGCCAATCCCAACTGCACACTCCACCTCAATCTGCTCTTGCTCCCTCCCACCTTGGGAAACTCACTGTCTCCTAGGCCTCTCCTCCCCGATGAGGAGCCCTTGCCAGGTCTTTACCTAACCCCTACCTGGCCCTCACTTGGCCTGTATCTGGTCCTCACCTGGCTTGTACCTGTCCCTCACTTGGCAGTATCTGGCCCTCACCTGGTCTGTACCTGGCCCTCACCTGTCCATATCTGGCCCTTACCTGGTCATACCTGCTCCCCACCTGACTGCACCTCACCCTGATCTGGCCATACCTGATTCTCATCTAGCCATATCCAGCACTCACTTGGTCATAGCTGGCCTGTACCTGCCTCTCACCTGGCCTGCACCTGGCCCTCACCTGGCCTGTACCTGTGCCTAACCTGGCCTGTACCTGGTCCTCACCTGGCCATACCTGGCCCTCATATGGCCATACCTGGTCCTCAGTTGGCCCGTACCTGCCTCTCACCTGGCCTGGGATTCACCTGACTGTACCTGGCAGATGCCGCCTTGGAGGGTGAGAACGCCTGTGCACACGTTGTTGGGATGACATTGGTCCTCAGGTGTCACAGTGACATTGATGACTCTCAGGAAGCGGGAGAGGTGGCCCCTGTGACGTGTGAGTCCCCAGCCTGCTACCTGGCAATTGGTGCTGGTTTCCACAGTGTCATTTTGGGGGGGCAGCGGCACCAGTGCCACGCTGCTGGTTAGGTTGGCCTCATGGTCCAGCTGGGGAGGAAAACTGAGTTTGGAGGAGCATGCTGCTGATGGGGTCTCACCCCGGGAGCATGGCCTCTGCTCTGTGAGTGGCTGGGGCTCAAATCCCAGCTCCGCTCAGGTACCTGGCTATACCTTTCTTTGGGGCTCTGGCTCCGCCTCCTGATGCCTATATAGGACCAAAACTATCTAAAACCAGAAGCACGGTGCACCCTCTGCACGGGAGTCCTCTCCCAGCGGGAGCACAGTCCACCCTCTGCACGGG